CATTTTCACACAACCAAAAGTATATGATGCCAAAACAAAATCACTAACATGTCAAAGCGTTTGTTTACCATATGTCTAAGCTTGGTTCATGACGTTTTGGATATATCAAAATCGACCAGCACTTACTGCTGGACATCTATTGACTATCTATTGACAAACAGCGGGAACTTAGTTGCGCACCTAATATATATATTTCTGTCACACCAATTCATCAATATAGTATGTTACATTGTAAGTGTGTTACATTGAGAAATTCATACAAATGCATATTGAAAATTCGGAAGCCGTGTGCACACACAACACTCACACACTGCTCACCAGCAAGCGCGCTCGCCCGCCCGACAGGGCGGGCTCGCGATGAGTGCATATGCATATATAATAGGAACATACACACACACGCGCACTCGCCCGCCCTGTCGGGCGGGCGAGTGCGCTTGCTGTCGAGCTGTGTGTGTGTGTGTGTGTGCGCGCACACAAAAAGAGTCGTTTGATTAAAAAGAAACATATATTGTATAATAATGTATAATAATATAACTTTATTTATTTATTATTTTGTGCTTCATAATGATTTCCTATAGGATAGAATGTACTCATTATATCAAAAAATTTGTCAATTCGTTCATGATATGAACATTTTTTACTATATATTCTAACTATGCGGTGGATTATGTTGTAATTTTGGGTGTGTTGTGTGCGTGCGTGCATGTGTGTGCGTGCGCGCACGTGCGTATGTAACTGTTTTTGTATATACGGTGTCCAAAAATTACAATCATTTTATGCAACTTTTTTTGCTAATAACTTTTTAATAAACAATAAGCGACGGCTGAAACCTTTTGCATGTTACTTAAGAACATATTATTGATAACATATGTCAAGGTCAAGGTCATTGGAGCTGCCTCCCCTACAGTCGATATTTACCCCGAATCAGTACATTGACTTGTAACCGCGATGCGTCGCGTGCCGGATTACGCTCGCCGGTTCGTATTCGTAGGAGGCGGAATAATGTTGAAACAAGGGAATCAAAAATAAACTTGGTCGTATATTTAAAATAAGCTGCTGCTATATTAAATTATATTTTTGATGTCAACACCGTTGGTTTTCGGTCGATTGTGTATATGCTTGTCTGATGTTTGGTTTCGGCGACGGCTCGCGAAGTGCGTGCGGTGCGCGGGACGCGGTCGGTGTTGTTGTCGCGTCGCTTCTTTCAACGTGAATCCGTCTGTTGATGTTTTAATTCTGTTTTCTTTAAATGCCGGTTGACAATATCTTTAAATAGCTGCTATGCGAGGCAGCGTGATATACGCGGTCTTGCAGCTTAGCTGCGTTCGATAAATTGCCCCTATGACAATAACTTGGATGCACCGATTGCTCTTGCAACTCGGTGATACGGTGTGCGCAGATGACGGCGGCTTCGGCAGTCCGTCTGTCGGAGCGGAGCCTTCGTGAGCTTCGGCTGCCTGGTTTCTCGAATGAACCCTGCTCGTTCGTACGAGATCGCGGATGCGAAGAATACAAACTTGCGGACGCATCGATGCGCCGTAGTCACGGAATAAATCCGCTCTCGCTTTCCGTGTGCGGTCTTTAGTGATACAGAGTCCGGCTTGCGTCCTTGCGAGTCGACGACGGTCTGATCCTGTCGCGAATCAATACAATACGGTAGCGAAGCTGCGCTGCAACGGAGCGATGCTTCGTTAATATGGAGATGAGTTCGCACGTTGCGACTCAATGCCGGTGTGATCTCGCTCGTGTTAAGGCGAGTCGAGATCCGGTGCAATGGTGGGAAGGT